CATATATAGATTTTCTGTAATACTTTATGCTACTAATATGAATATTTTCAAAATAAGGAGTTGTTACCAGGACATTTGACCTGTACTCTACAAAACAGCTTCCTGCATTTTCTGGGTGAATTGTCTGGGCGTCTCACATCACATATTACTTAATGAAGTAGGTGGCTGTAAACATGGTAGGGCGATCCAAGAAACTGTATGTTGAAAACTTGCTAGAAATTATTTCCATAGCTAAAATCACTGGTGTCTTCCGAGAAAATACATTACTGACGAGCATATCAGAGACCACGCCTGGCACGTGCCTCAGTGATGGCGGGACGTGGGTGGGGGCTGGTGTCTTAATCTCTAGAACGTCCATGAGATGACACTGATGCTAGATTTTGTTCTCGTGAAGTGTTGCCCCTCAGAACACATCTAGTAGTAACAGGTGAATCATTCTATTAACAAGGAAACATAATACAGGAGAACAGATCATTATTTACCTCCTTATAAATAACTCCTGGAAATGCCTGGGCAGCAGGAAGTCTGCTTTAATTTGTGTTCACGTCCATCATATAAAATTGGTACCTCATCCGACTTGTATATTAACATCTCAGTGTTGCAAACTCCAGGCCAGAAGGGGACTTACTGCATTCAATTCAGTGATGATGTTTGTATATTCATTCATGTTTGAGAATGGCCGGGGAAGCTCCTGCAGGTGTGTGGCTGACCTGTAAGACCAGCTGCAGGGCGAGGACCGAGTCGTTACTGAATAAATGGTTGTTTCTGCTCTAATAGGAACCACAGAGAAGACAGGTCAATTAGGACCTAATTAATTTTCTCTCACTATTTGTCAAGCGTGTAAATCCAGCCATCACCATGGTATTGATAAGAGATTTTTCAGCCCCCAATTTTTATGGTCTTGGTTGTAATTATCAGAGAGACTAAGAACTACCCCACTGCTCTTCCTGGGTGTCTGGATGACCTCCAGGGTCCAAGATGAATTTCCCTCTTTGCCATAATGGGGCTGCTTCTTAGAAAATGGCAGTAATGGTGGAGCATTAAAATAACGTATGCCGAATTTCCTCAGCTGTTAATGAGAACTGACGTGATTTGATTTCCCTGTATTGAAACGAGAGTGTCTTCTGATTCACCTTCATGCCCCTTGAACTGTTTACCCCCATGACCCACCAGGGTGATGAGTTTATCAGGACGTCTCCCAGTTGGTGAAGAAAGTTAAGTTATTATCAAGCTTCAACTTCCTAAGTATACTTCAAGGCAGATCAGGGACAGATGGCTATTCTTAACAGCTTTTATGTTTTCTTAGAGTTCACTGGTATTTTTGGTACTATGTTACAGTACATTGTAGTTACTAGCAATAAAAATGTTTAGAAAAAAATCAGACCATGTGCGATGCTTAGGGAAAACGACCTAGCAGAAGGATTTATTCTGTAGTAAGCCTGGAATTAGCCAGTCTTGGATTTCAGGAGGGCTGTGGAAGCAAAGAAGGGAGTAAAGAGGTCAACTTACGAAATCCTTGAAAGAAAAACTTAAGGGGCGAGTTAAGGAGCTGTTCTGTGTTCTAGAATTGCTTGCGAGATGCGTGCATGTGTAGCAGACCTTCAGTGGTCCTCAGGTAATAAGATGTTGCTCTGGAGTTTCTTCATCTTACTTTTGACGTCTCACTTTTTCTTCCATAGAAAGGATGCAGATGGGGTCACGATTTCACAGGGACTCACTACTACATGTGGAGGTTTGCTTTCTCTCTTTGTTTGTAGAAAAGCCCGTTTTTAGGATTCTCTGAGCAAACTAGCTAGTCAAAAGAACTAGCAAAAACACATGGCAGAATACAGCCATGAATTTATTTCCCACTGTGTGCCAGACACAAAAATTATATTTGACCCTCCAAAAAATCCTACAGGGAGGATATTACCTATCTTATGGATGAAGAAACCAAGAGTTCAGAGACGTGTTTCAAAGCTGTCACAGTTAGAGCCAACTCAGTATGTTCCTTTTCTGTCATTTTGTCCCACCTCTTACAAGGTTCTCTCTCAGCATAAAAATGAGAAAGTATTGCAGCTTTCTCTGTCTCTTCACTGATGCTGTCCACACGGCGACTGAATGATACTGGAATAAATGTGGCTCTTTATCAAGTCCAGAGAACCACCATCATATCTTACTAAGTATATGTTTTTGAGCATGCCGGGAAGCAAAGGCAGGGGGAAGACTTAGAGGCAGTGAGGACCGGGGCTGCGAGACAGTGGACACAGTGTCCTCAAAAGACCAATAGTGAAAAAAAAGGCTGACAATGGACTTTGCAATAAAAATGATACAAACCAGATAACAGTGGGGCGATGTCTTTAAAACTGTTTGGGCGTGTGGCATTACCACCCTTGAATCCTGCACCTGGAGCAAGCTTTCTTCAAGAAAAGAAGGCTGAATAGAGACATTTTTGGGAAAACAGAAAATTTTTTAATTAACTGGCCTGAATTAAAGTAAATGTTAAGAAGCGTAAAGACAATGATTCCTGATGAAAAATTAGTAAATGCAGAAAAGATGGAGAAAAACAGAAATGACAAACATGCAGGAAATATAGATGAACAGTGAGTGCTAAAAACAGCTATAATATCTTGTGGGATTTACAGTATATGACAATGTAACACAAAAGGTGGGGCTGGGGGCAAAGAGAGTCAAAATCTTCTACGGTTTAAGAAATGTTAGTAAAATGTAAACAAAAAAATCATTTGCTTTCCTCTCTGCCATACATCTTAGCAGCACATTGATTGTTTAAAAATGCTCTTAAAATTAATATCGTTTAATAAGTGATGATCAGTGAGAAATCTGGAAGCGAACACTTGGCACACACAGATCACTCTTCCTTCCCTGGGTGCGTCTGTAATGGGAGATAATTCTGTTTCCATCCATAACAGACTTTCTAGTTTTGGGAAGGCAAGAACCCATTCTTGTTTTCCCTTGTGAAGTGAGTATCCTATTGTTACGAACGTCAATTAGTTAATCCCACAGGGACAACTCAGTGACACCACAAAGACCAATGATCCTGTGAGTTCTGAGAAAAGATGTGTGTCAAAGTCTCACTGACTGACTCGCTCTCAGCCTCCTGTCAGGTGGTGTTAACACCTCCTTCGGGACTTGCTCCTGCACCCCCAGGGCCCGGGGTTGCGCCTTGACGTTAACAGATGGACGTGTAGTCCCAGCGTTCCCTGCATAATTTGCTTTACACAAGTCTAATAATTACAAAATACTGATTTTTTGCTAAATTTGAGAATCAGATTTTGTTTTAGGAATCTCAGAAAAACACTGAAAGAGAGACAGGGCGACCAGCTCTTTTTCATCTTGGTATCCAAGAGAATTTCCACAACGACAGAGCCCCAGTTACACTGAGTACATCTTTATGAATTTAAAATGCGGCGCGTTTCCTTGTCAAAATGCAGGAAACGTTTTCTTTTTCCTGCATTTGTTTAGGGAAGGTTGTGAATTAGAGGTTAGAAACAAAGGCACTTTTAGTTGGAAAAACCCTGGTTCTTTCCGTTGTAACCAAGAAGACGAATACTTTATACAATTAGCAAGACCGGAGCAATGATTGTAATACGTCTCATGTTATTAAACATTAAGGGAAAATCCACAGAGATTGCAACTTTGCATAAAATCACTTTATAAATGAATTCTCTCTGTTAAGTAAAAATAGTAGACAATTTACTAAATGGTGAGGCTTTGCAGAGAAGAAAGTAGAATCCTCTTTGTATGGGAAGATTATGATGTTTAACGGGGAAAATCCTGAATCCTGCTATTCTAAGAATGAGATGATTTTTACTTGACTAGCTCTTTCCTAACAATTATGATTTAGAAATCATTTCTTTCTTTAGGAGATGAATCTGAAATAAATGAACTTACAGTAATGAACTTATAAAAATCGCTTCTGCCAGTAACATCAGGTGCATAGCGCTGAGAAAACCCGGCTCTAAAATCACACGTCTCCTGGGAAAGGGGACGTGTTACTCTTGTCGGAGAGACCCGAGCCGCGGGGGTCACCGTGACACAGAAAACCGGCTTCTGTCTCCAGAACAGACTCGGAGCTTCAGGTAAGGGGGTTCTGAACACAACGGTCCACGTACCTCTTCACTTATTTCCCGAGGATGTAAGACCCTGAGTTCCCTTCCAGCACTGGTGGTGGTCAGATTATGATGTTCGTAAAAATCTAAAAAAAAATCCTAACAGGATGTGGCTAAAGTTGGATAAACGACCCTTTCCAAGGCCACGCTGTGTTTGAAAAGCGACAGCCACTTCTCTTCTTTCCACTGACGGCCTCTTTCTCACCAGTGACCCCCCTCAGCCCCACTCTGTCCCTCCTGACTCCTGAGCTGAGGTACCAACTCCTAAGCCGCCCGCACACCGCCCGTGGGCCCCCCACCCTTTCCCCAGCCCCGGCTGACGCATCGGCTGTGCACACGCCCTCTAGCGAGACCCCGGCCCCAGCCCCCGCCCCAGTTCCACATCTCAGGCGTCCAGGTTCCTCTGCTCACGCTGTCCCCTGATGCAGCAAATTAGTACCCAACAACAAACTAAGTAAGTTTGACAGTGTTTTCCCTGCAGTTCTTTTCTGTGCTATTTTATATTGACTTTGCCCTAAAGCGAAATACGTTGCAAAACCCACATTTTTTTTCTGGGAGGTAAACTCGATGGCAGCAATCATTTTACCTTTCTTTGGATATTTACATAAACATATGCCTGCAAGCCTTTGGGGGAAAAGAAAAAGAAGCTAGCTTGTTCTGGCAGGAATCGTAATTAGTGATTCTCCAGGGAATGTTTAGAAGCTCTGTTTGTGGGTGTCTGTGGTGAATATTTTTCTGAAGTGCTGACGGATGTGAAATGGGTCAGCAGTGCGGGCGTAGTGTGGTGTCTAGATTTTCTGGATTTTCAGGGAGGAGAGGATAGCGAGGCGTGTCGCAGTCCTGGGGAGCCTGGTGTTTTCCCTCGTGGGTCGGCGAGTAGAGGCAGTTTCTGAACACCTGCAAGGAAAGATCACCCGGGCCTGGACCTCAGAAGAGCAAATTGGAGAACTGGATGGTCGACTGAAGCAGTGAGTTGGTTATGAGAAGCCGCTGATCAGAACTAGGGGACATGGACCCTGATGGAGAAGCCAGTGTGCCCTGGGGTGGAGGGTCCGCGTGTCAGCAGGGCTCCCCAGACCCTCTTATGACGCCGTCTGTCTGGGGAGTGGCCTGGCTCACCTCCAGCAGGGCGCAGAGAACCTGCAGCTGCTCTGGGTGGATTCGCTCTGCTCAGTCTGCAGGTGCCAGAGCTGAGCTTGAGCCTCCCGCTCTCAGATATGGTGAGTCAGCTTGGGGAATTCTGCACAGAGTCGGACGCTGGGAACCTCAGCGTGTGACAAAGGCAGCAGTGATGAGCCGCACTTGCAGTCACGTGGTGAGCAAGCGGGGAGGACAAGATGAGCTCTAGCGGGTGATACTGCTTCCTTCACTGCTGATTTCTCAGCATCTGTGTGCCCCCAATTTTTCGCTACTCTGTGTGTTTTAATCTAGCTCCTTGATAAACATGGCAATTTAGAGCCCAGAGGTAGCTTCTTTGAGGACCCTGTGCAGAACTGAACACAAAAGCAAACGGCAGAAAAAGGATCCTAGAGGGAAACAAACATTTAAAATGCTTTTTTGGATCCTTTGACCTTGATTTTTGTAATTCAGCCAAGAGTATATTTACACGCGAGTCACACCGACTCCTACCCGCCCGCCCGTCTCTCCCCACTTCTTTCATCTTTCCTTTGAATTACTCACTTTCTTCTCTTCCCTGGTTTTCCTCTTCAGACTCTATTGGACCTCAATTTATTTATTTCATTTTTATTTTTATTTAAGTAGAGTCGATTCACGGTGTTAGTTTCTGGGGTACAGCATATACATATATATTCACATATATACATGTGTACATATGTATTCCTTCAGGGTCTAGTCATGTTTCTTGATGTTATTTGCGTTCAGAAAAGAAATGAATGTGATGATGGAGCTAAACAGAACAGAATGACACAAAATGAGAAGTGTGTCTGCACCTCCCTCCCCATTCCTACCGTGTGCTCCTTCGAGTCAGTCACTTTTAATTATTTCTGATGTCAGTTCCTCTGGTTGTCACCTCTCCAAATAATGTAAATTACATGAATTTGGAGGGTTTTGGAGCGAAGACTATGCCTCTTATTTCTTTCTTATGTTTAGAGACACTTAAATATAAGGATCAAAGGCTCATGATGAAAAGAGCAACTGGATTGAGTAATAACTCAGAGTTGGTTTTGATTCTAGTTTTTCTAGTGCTTACTCCCCAGTCTAGACTTTAGAACAACTCACTTGAGGGAGTGTTTGAAACTACAGAGAGAGAGGAAAAAAACCAAACTTCTAGCTAGAAGCATTGTTTCACATATGCTTAATGAATATCTAGTATATAGTTACATTGGTTCCAAATTCTGGAACATTTCACTCATAACTGTTTAGAACTTCCAGAATAAAATATTAGAAAGATGAAGTTTAAAGTGCTTTGAAAACACTAATTTACAGACACTTTATATCCAAGTTTCTGCAGCACTGTAGCAGAGGTCTTCTGTTTACCTGCTTCTCAGAGCTAATCCATCGCCCACGTAAGTATTGTGTTATCAGCGTTGCTAATCCAACCACTAAGAGCGAGGTAGCAGATTTAAGTAGAAAATCTACACAGAAAGTCTTAGAGCAAAATAAACAGTAAGGCAAAGTTGCCTGCCATTAAAAGTGCTGTCAGCACTCTACCCCCTTCACTATACTTCATCTTAAAATATGTAAGGACATAAATTAAATCGATATGTATTTTTTATTACTGACCCAGTCTGTGTTCCTCCAAGTCAGTGGGCAGGGGAATAGTCACAAGACAGATTGTTTGTCTTTGCTTTGTTGTGGGCTATTTGTCACTGTAACATATGGAAATTGAAAGAGCCATCTTTGGTATCATTCTTCAACAATATATTCCCTTTTGTCGCTATTCTGCACATTGTATTTTATTTAAAAAAACAAACACATTATAGAGGGTCCATTTTTGAGACTTTTAAAAAGGGCTTTTACAGCATTTGTACACTAGGAAGGGCTTCGTACGTTCACAAAGAGTGATTCAGTGGATTAATTTGGCAAGAGAGTGTTGGTCTTCCTCTTCCTTCTGAATCTCTTTTTAAGAGGCAGGCTACTTGTATGTGTGCAATAATTTGAATCCGTGATTATTTGGGGGCAGAGACATCAGCTAACTAGGATAATTAAGAAATTTTTAGTTCTATCATTTTAAAAAAATGTACAGCTGACTTTCAAGGTGACTGTTTCTAGTTTGCAGCACGTAACATTTGCCCGTGTACACAGAGATTTATTCGAAGTAAGCAAAAGTAACATCTGGAAAAGCGGGTGGTGTGCACGCTCTAAATATCTCGATTTCTTATTTGCCACTATTTATGAGAGAAATTTGACATCTTCTGCTTTCAGAGGTTTAATGGAACCCCTTGAACAGCTGGATGAGAACACAAAACAAAGTGGGTGCAGCTTACGTATGGAATATGGGAATATGCAAAAGTCTTTAATCACAAAACTAAGCAAAGTGAGATGCTTTTAAAGGATGATGGAAAAGAAGAGTTCTTGCCCGCTGACTTAGAAAAGACTTAAAAATATTACTTGGAAAAGTCTTGGCTTCCCTTGGAAGGTCATCTACATTCTGCCGGCTTCTGTAGGTGACACGTGACACCGGTGGCCATTGTTAAGTCGGTGTGGCTGCATGAAGGTTGCAGGAACAGGTCAGGCAGGCTCCGCCCCATGTGGGCTTGGAGCACAAAGAATTGGTTGTAATCACTGAAGAGCACAGCCCGTGACTCCTGAGAACTTACCAGCAATGAGGATAATTCCTAAAGACTGAAAAAAGGCAAACGTAGAGACCCTGAGGAAAAAGGAGGCTGGATGAGGGTAAAAGCAGCTTTCAAAACCATTGGAAATATGTCACATAGTAATAACTCGTCTAAGCTGACAAGTTCTGTCAAGTTAAACTGCCTTTTTTTTTTTCATATGAAAGTGATTTCCTTAGAAGGTAAGGGACGGGGAACAAAAGGTAATAAGATTTCACCTTAGTGGGCTTAAGTTTTTATCTCAGAGGATGTCTGTCAAAACATTGTAGAAATACAGTTTAGATCAAAGAGGTGTTAGGTTAAAGCAGGTGTGAATGGCGGGAAGATGAAATAAAGTCTGTTCTAAGTAACTTAAAAGTAAGGAAGTCACTGAAATGCAGTGAGGGGTTGGTGATCATGTTGTCTTATTTGTTGTGTTAGTTAAGGACTTAGATTACAGAATGTGTATTATGTCCATTAAACACGGTAATTCTTCCAAGTTGATGACCAATTTGGTGTAGTAGAGGGTGATAAATATAATGATGTAGGTATGAAAGAATCTGCTTGGGAGAAAATGACCTGAGCGGGTACATCGTCAGTAAAAATTGTACTTCCGGAAGTGATGCAGAAAATGATCACATGGCAGATACGGATAAGGAAGATATTAGAAATTATGACTAGCAGTCTGGAAAGTCGGAGCCCTTACATTCAGCACGGATCACCCTGCACCCTCCCCCACCAGCAAGCCGTGTGCAAATGACATTTCAGAAAGGACTCCAATTGGAAGAAAGGAGATGCAGTGGGAGAAGTTTGGGGAGAGGCAGAGTGCATTCATTTTACTGGGTGGGCAATTTCAGCTTGATGATTTACAGGAAGGATGGAAACTGGGAGAGGCGCAGAAAAGAGACATAATAAGAAATAGGAAATGAGCTGATAAGGAAAGGAAATTTCACTTGGGGCGAAATATAAAGTGGAACTAAGTAGGGAGGACTGAGTGAGTACCTACGGTGATGACACACTGATGCTTATCAGCTAACTCTGGTTTCCCTGGTCTCTTTAGAGATCAGTGTGGCTTTAAAGTAGCAGAAATGTTCTAGTCCTGTAAAAAATGCCATTCGTACTTTGAGGGGGACTGCATGGAATCTGCAGATTGCCTTGCGCACCATGGTCATGTTAACAATACTGATTCTTCCAGCCCAAGAACACAGTGTATCTTTCCTTCTGTTTTGTCGTCTTCAATTTCTTTCTTCACCGTCTTATAGCTGAGTGCAGGCCTTTTACTTCCTTCGACAGGTTTATTCCTAGCTATTTTATTCTTTTTTATGTGATGGTAAATGGGATTGTTTCCTTAATTTCTTTTTCTGATATTTTGTTGTTGGTGTATAGAAATGCAGCTGACTTCTGTGTGTTAATTTTGCATCCTGCAACTTCACCGAATTCATTGACGAGCTCTAGTGGTTTTCTGATGGCCTCTAGGGTTTTCTTTGTACAGTATCATGTCATCTGCACACAGTGACACTTACTTCTCTTCCAGTTTGGATTCCTTTTATTTCTTTTCCTTCTCTGCTGTGGCTAGCGCTTCCAACACTCTGTTGAATATAAGTGGCGAGACTGGGCATCCTTGTCTTGTTCCCGATCTTAGAGGAAATGCTTCCAGCTTTTCACCATAAAGTATGATGTTAGCTGTGAGTTTGTCATGTGTGGCCTTCATTATGTTGTGGTATGTTCCTTCTGTGCCCACTTTCTGGAGTGTTTTAATCTTAAGTGGATGTTAAATTTTATCAAAAGCTTTCTCTGCATCTATTGAGATAATCATATGAGTCATATAATCATATGAGATATAGAAGCAACCTACGTGTCCATTAACAGAGGAATGGATACAGAAGATGTGCGACACACACACACACAGACACACACATGCGCAAGCGCACACTGGAATACTACTCAGTCGTAAGAAAAGAAGGAAATGTTGCCATTTGCATATTAGATAGACTTGGAGGGCATCATGTTAAGTGAAATAAGTCAGACGGAGAAAGAGAAATACTGTATGATCTCACTTATATGTGGAATCTAAAAAAATACAGCAAACTAGTGAATAAAACAAGAAAGAAGCAGGCTCACAGGTACAGAGAACAAGCCAGCAGTTACCAGTGGCGGGGGTGGGGGCAGCAGGGCGAAGGGATTTAGAGTACAAACTACCAGGTGTAAAACCAGCTACAAGGATGCGTTGCCCCACACAGGGAATACAGCCGCATTCTATGTAATCATTCAATAACAACTGTAAATGGAGTGTAACGTTTAAAAATTATGACTCACTGTCTTGTACACCCATAACATATAATACTGCACAGGAGCTATACATCCATAAAAAATAATGAAAAATGTAAAAATTAAAATAAATAAATAACATAAAAGCAGAAACAGCTGCAGGATCCTGTTTAGAACTTACATTTTCTTAATTTGCCAGAATTTGTCAAAATTCTGTCCAGTGTGAAGCCCATCTCAACTTGATGTTCCTAACCATCTTTGAAAGTGCTCGGCTGCTCCAGGAGGGAAAAGGAAGCTATTCCATATTTCCTGGAGACAGGATTGGAAAGTCAGTAACCAAGACTCCACTCTCTGTCACTCAAAAGACACATGGCCCCTCTCCTCCATGTCTCTTTGCTTCCCTCTTTGCCTGCTTCATCCTCTCTCCCTCTTTGGGCTGGCTCACCTCTCCCCACAGCCTGGATTGGCTGCTCCTGTGTCTCCGTGTTTCCGATGTAGGGCTCTCCTCTCTCTGTTTATACCGTCTTTGTTGGGGGGGAACTGTCCAGAAGGAAACCCACCAGGTGGGTAAAGGTTGTTTCCATAGATGTGCTGCAGAAGAGGCCAAGGTGAGGGTGATGTGTGGAGGTGCCAGTAATACCACGTGTTTTGTTTTTAATAAGAATGTGCTCCTGTATTCACTGCGCATTTAGAAGCTAATTTCAGAGTAATGTAATCTTTCCATTTGTAAAGATGATTATGACGGGAAGACATAAAGCTGTTTCATCCTAAAGACTCAGTGCAGTGAGAAAAGTCTGGGGTCCCAGTATTTGACTGTGTGGTCAGTGTCTGTCAAAGGCTCATTTAGTGATGCGTGGAATTTTAGATCTGGAGAAGACCTTAGAAATGATTCATTTTTTTTGTCCTTTAGTATATGTGATTCCTTTTTTTTAAACTGAAGTATAGTCAGTTACAACGTGTCGATTTCCGGTGTGTAGCGTAATGTGATCTCATTAACTAGGGTAGATGTGTGGCTTGGGTCCTGCCAATCAGAAGACAATGTAGATCTGGAGCTGGGAAATGAGAGGGGCCCCGCTGGGGAGAACTGATCTTCTGACAAAGGTGGTGGTGATGTCTTTATCTGCTGGGGATGCCGGGTGGAGGTTTGCGTGGTTGGGTCTTTGTCACAGACACTGGGCAGCAGAGACGGACCAGGGTTCAGTGGGGCAAGCTGGTGAGGAGCTGGGCACTGACCCTACCCCGGGGCATGGGAGCCTGGCTGACCAGTGCCACGAGCCACGTGGTTTCATGTGGTCATCTTCTCTTTTGTATCAACTAGACAGACTGGGTTCTGTGAGTTCTTTTCCTAAAACCCCTGGGTGATACAGTTAAATTTTTGCTTCTAATTTATCCACTTCTATGATACTCTTCTCATTAGAAGAAGCTGTTACACTTCTCTCCCCCCATCTCATCTTTTCTGTAAAAGTAGATACGAAACATCAATTCATGGATGAGATCGCTGAAGGGTCCCAGAGAGCACTTGTTGAAGTAAGTGTTACTTTTTGTAAAATGGGCATTTTCAGGGTTTACAGATAGGATTTTAAAGTTTATAGGACACCATTCAGAGCAGTTTTAGTTTCTCTGCTGGTCACATAATTTATCTCGTTAAGAGTCTTGGGGCAAAAAACAGAGGCCTGAGATTGAAAACTCTATTTCTAAAATAAGAACGTAGGAAGCATTGAAAGAAATGGAGAACCCAATGTGCCTAACTTCATAAACCGTTTTATTTTATAAGCAAAAAAAACCAAAAAAACCCCTGAAGCCCCAAGTAATTAATGTTCATCACACAGTTCGGAAAGGTCAGAGCTGAATCCAAGGCCTCCTGGGGCTTCTGTTCCAAGACTCTTCCCCTTTCCCGTGACACGGCAGCATCACTGGAGGATCACGGGATTTCTCATGGAAGCCGAGGGCGCATTTGGGAGATTCTGGCTCAGATTTCCTGCATGTGCGCTCCCTGCCTCCACCCCAGCTCTGGGCAGTCTACCTCTTGGGGAGGATCTTTCCCTCTCTCCCCGCTCCCCTCGCAGGAGGAAGGCAGCAGTGGCAGTCCGCCTGGTCGCGTGGCAGCGCATTTCTAGGGCATGTCCACCTAAGACGTTGACTGATTCCAAAATCTCCCACATGCTGGCGTCTGTCTCTGGTCATTATCACCCAAACCCATCTCCCAAGTGGGAAAAATCCATTATCACGCATCCTACCCTGTGTTGACCTTCAGCCCAGTGTTTCCTCATTCCTGAAGAAACAGTGGTGCTTGATTTCCCAGTTCCCTGCCTGTTTTATAAGAAAATGTCCTTTCTAAACTGATGGATTCATTGGACGAGTCTGTGCTAAGTGGCTGTCGTGAGCCCAGGAGTGATCCAGGCTAGAGCTGTAAACAGTTTGGGTTTTCTTTGCAAAACTTCTCTCCTTGTGGAGCTCATGTTCTATTAGGAAAACAAACGTTATGCCTGTCAAATAAGTACATGATTCGGCAAGTTAGACAAGCGAAGTACAGGGGGAAACACTGCACACACAGCAGGAGGATGGATGCTGGGGTTTGGGCTCACAGCTCCAAACCGCGTCAGGGGTCAGCACCAGGAGGGGACGTCTGAGCAAAGACTTGAAGACGGGTGAGGACGTCGAGGACGTGCTGAGGGTTCTCATGGAGGACGGTGTGAAGTCGTCGTCTGGTTGCGTGGAGCGCGAGGTGCCTTGGGAAATGCGAGAGGACCGCCGGGCCCTTCTGAGGACTCCCTTGAGGCTGATCTGCACGTGTAAACGTAACGTCGGGCCGGTCAGCACGCTCGTGGGGTGTGGGTGTTTATCCACACCCGGTCCCCTGGGGGAAGATGTGCTTAGAGTCGGCAGAAAGGTAGATGTCACAAGAATTGCGGGTACAGTGAAGCCAGAGAGGGTAAAATAAACTGAGAATGGGGTTTTACTGATTGTCCATGACAGTTACACGGGCCCAGAGGGAAGAATGGCTTATTGCGGGCATGAAGACGGGAGATGGAGAAGCAGCTGATTGTATGTCCTGCTGGAGCCAGGGGCTTCCTGGGGTGTTCTGAGCTCGCCTGAGGACCACCCGGACAGTGATCGAGCGCTGGGTGTGTTCTGGACACGGTGCAGGGGGCTTCAGGTGGGTCGTCCCTGCTAAGCTTCCCTGTGGACGTCTGGGTGGGTGTCATCCTCTATCCAACCTCGTTCTGCAGGGGAGAGAATTGAAAGAGAGGCTGAGTTGGGGCCTGGCGCTCTCTGACTCTCCGGATCAGCCACGTTAACGTGAGGTGACGTGTGTGAAGCCTGTAAACTGCTTGCCAGACAGAGCTGTTGTTCAGCGAACTGGGGACTTGAACGTACACAACATGTAGTTTCACTACTGGCCAAAGGCAGCAGTGATGGCGGGTCTGTATCCTCAGGCAGAAGGCTGGACGTAGCCTACGAGTTCAGGGTGGTGTTTCTTTTCCCTGCTTAGTAATCTGATTTTCATACACGTTCCAAGAAGTGTGGTGCGAATATAAGAAAAATCGAGTTGTTAGGATGGCGTGTTTTAATTCCTGGTCGTATTGTTTTTCTTTAAAAGACAATAGATCTTGATCTCTCATTTCATGGGCTTTAAAACAGAAATCAGCTTGTAACTAAAATTTCAGGAAACTGACATTCAAGCTCAGAAGTAAGAAAGCAGGACGTATTTTCCAGTAAATGGAAAATGGTAGAATGTGTATTTATTATTGTAAACAGGAAGCCTAATAAAGTAGTCGAAGGCCAATGTGAGTTAAGCAGTTTCTCTAGAAATGACTCTGAAAGGAGGAAATTAAAACTCATCAAATAGGTTCATAAAATTAAACTTTAAGCTGGTGAAGGGCTGCCCCCACCTCAGATGTCCTTTCCAACTTTTTCTGCAATCTGTCTGTTCCGCTGAAGAAGAATGACTCGGCCCTCGTGTGCTGTGCACCTCGCCGACAAGTCACTGTCCGAGAATGAATCATTTACGTGTTGCCCGTGGGCTGGAAAGCCCCTGGGCCCCAGTGTCCCGTTGTCACAGCCGTGGGTGTGAGGACCAGCGCGGCCCTTCCCTGCTAGCTGTTTTACAGGTATTTCCTCCCGTCCGTGTCCCCACTTTGAGTCAGTGGACACGACGCGGTGTCCACTGGTCCGAGGAACCTCTCTTAAAAACCTAACTGGCAGCTTGGAAAAGGAGCTTTAGAAAGAACTGGAGGTTGCAGCCAAAGTAACCTCGATCCATGAGCATTTGAAAGGTGACAGTGGACAAGTGAGAGAGGTTCGTTCTGTGACCACGCATGCCGAGACGCATCTGGGCGAGAAAGCAGGGGCGTCCCCACAGCATCCAGTCCGTCCCCGCAGTAATGAAGCCTGTCCGTTACACTTTGTTGCTCAGCGTGTCTTCCAGCCGAGGCTGTCCCTTGGAATTGATGCAAGTGACAAAGGCTGCCGGAACTTTGCTGGGGAGTCAGTTCCGGGCTAATGTGCCTCACAGCCTTTCCCCAGCCTCACTGCTTCGCAGCTAGGTTGGGAAGGACAACGACTTTGTTTATGCTTTCTCTTATCTTAATGAGTCTCTCCATGATCTCTACGCCTCTCTAGAGAAGATCTGATTTGAAGTTATTTAAGGCCATTCTCTCTGTGGAGACAGGTGACCTGTTAATCTGTGACACTGTCTTACCCTGAAGACTTTGAAAGCCACGTGAGCGCTGACGCCCTTACTCATGTGCTCTCTGTATCCTGTCCCTCTTTTCATTTCTTTGCCCCAGAGTTGCTTTGTCTTCACCAAACAGCAAATAGGAACCTTGGTGGAAAAATGGGCAGACGCTATGAACAAGCCATTTCAGGAGAGGAACCTTAAAAACTCATTAGTAATTTGAGAAATGCAGCTTATGTGTACATGTGAGTATGAAATATCAGCGACATTTTATTAGACAGCCCAGGTGATGGAAGGGATGTGCCGACGGAGGGAGGGTTTTTATCCCGTGCTCCTGGGAGTGGAGGAAGCTCCGCCCGTCCTGGCGAGTCATCTAGCACGACCTAATCAAAGCGATGCTGTGTGTCCTCCAAGACGCAGCGTGTCCCTCCAGGACATACTCCCCGGGAAATTATTTTACAGGATCATCAAAGAGCCTGCAAGAGGGTGTTCCTCAGAGCGCATTTGTGGTGACAGAGCTGAAGGCAGCAGGAGTGTCCATCAAGGGCAGGATGGCTGGGTTAAATCTGGTGGACTCCTGCCACGGAGTAAGCACTCTGCAGCAGTTATGTGACGGGGAACACTGTGCTGCACACCAGAAATGGGCACACTGTAACTGGCTGTAGTTCAGTTAAAAGAAAAGCTAAAAAAAAAAAAGAAACAGCCAACTGGATAAACCTCTAGCAACATGAATGGATCCTAAACCGAACTGTTGAATGTTAAAGAAAAAAATGAGTGTGAATAGAGAACAACATTTAAATAAATTGAATCTACTTGTATAAAATAAAATTATATTGTTTGCAGAAATACAGAACAAATCTATATGCATGTATGTGTGGGTATGTATGTACATACATATATATAAATATAATAATATGCATGTAATCTCATCCTCTGTTCTTAAGGCCGAAGGAAGGAGAGCTGTCCTTGACCAGGGCTGAGCGCTACAGCCTTCTGAGGTCTTGGGGGGGGGTGGGGCGGGCTTGTCTCGAGAGGTCTTCCATACCCCCAGACACTCCCTTTAAGCCCTGTCTAAGGTTGTGGGGTCTCAAAGCCAAATTTTGGGCCATAGGAGCCTGATCTCTAGTCCAGTCCCCACTCCCACACCTGCTGACACCCGTCCCTTCCCCTGCTCCACTCTACTTCCCCTCCACTCTCTGTTCCTCCATCCTGCCTTCGTCCCCCCAGCTCTGCTGAGACATTATCAACGTATAACATGTGTAAGTTCAAGCCTGCCCTCATTTTCAGTCTCGCCCCTCATATTCACCTTACTTGCGTTCCCCCCCAGTCCCTGTCACTACCCCAGATTCCTCCTTCAGCTCCTGCCAGAATCTTTCCTGCCTTCCTCCCAACGACCGGGGCTGGATCTACCCAGGACCCCTAGTTTGGAGTCTCTCGTCCGGGACGGCCAACAAGTACTTCTGTGAATCTCTGGGAGAATAATCAGGCTCTAAAATATCGATGCACCTGTCAGGTTTGGGCTGGATCTGTTTACCTCAGTGTAGTGGACTGAATAGTACCCCCCGCTCCCGCCCCGCCACATGCCTGCAGACTGGAACTCAGAATGTGATCTGATTTGGATCTTGTTTGGAAGTAGGGTCTTTGCAGGTATAATTAAGATTGGGATAAAAATGAGGTTATACTGGCTTGCAGTGGATCCTAAATTTAATGAGGGTCCTTGTAAGAGACAGAAAAGGGCACACAGACACACACAGGCAAGGAGACCTGCGGAGACGGAAGCAACGAATGGGTCACGTTGTCCCAGCTCAGGGGACACCTGGGGTCTCTGTAAACTGGAAGAGTCAGGAAGCATTCTGCCTTAGAGCCTTCAGAGGAAGAGTGGCTTTTTATTTTGGGCATCTGGCCTCCAGACCGCGAGAGAATAAAATTTTGTTATTTCAAGCCACCGGGTTTGTGTTATTTTGTTGCATTATAACTAGGAAATCACTCGGTGGAAATCATGTGGATCATTATTTGATGATCAGCAGGTCTCAGATTGGTTTATGCATCCATCACTCATTGATACAAGTGAGAAGACGTTGCCTGTCCTGTTGTTTTCCTAGATGGTGCCTGGAAATCTGTCTTCCGCTGGGACTGAAGCACGGTGCCTCCCAGTGGGTAGGAGGCCAGAGCCAGGAGTTGTCCTGCGTGGGTTCAGGTTACAGCCGTGCTTGCTCCAGGTGGTATAACTTCAGAGAAGTCACTTTGACCTGGGTCTCACTGTTCTCACCTATAATGGGTCTAACAGGACCTACCTCATAGGGATGTTGGAAAGATTGAAACTGGTTAAAATACTTTAAACATTTGGAATGTGCCTAGCATATAGTAATAAATGTGTGCTAATATTCTTTCATGACGACACCTGTCTCCAGCCCTCCATTTCCTTTTTCTCAGCTCTGTATATAAATTGGGTAACAGCTCACACCCAGCTGTTGGGTACAGTGTGCAGGTGATGTGGCCTGTGGGCAGGGACATTCTGCCCCAGGTAATTTATTTCAATGTGATATGCAAAATATAGACTAAAAAATGCACAATTTAATTCAGCCTGTAAGATGGAAATATCTTTATTTAGCCTGAAATAACATTTGCAGGACCCAACTGTTTGTAATTTAAGCAGCACTGTTACATTTTTTAGGATTTTCTGGGACTGTTGATGACGTTCGTTGAATAAAATTTTTTTCGATTTCTTTTGTATTTCATTCACGGTGCTGTAAGACTGATTTTGGAAAAACTACAATTCCAAGGGAGAGGAGAAGAAAATTCCTCCAGATCATGGAAGTCTGCTCTGTGGTATATATTCCCAGATGTGATCAGCATGCTCGTTGGTTCTTTCATTTTTGTTTTAACTGGTGAATTCATTGTTGTTCCTGACTGGGACGTCATTAATGCCCAAAGTTAAGTCTCACCAGGTCATGCTCACTTTGTGAGCTTTTTAATCCTGTTTCTCCTTTCCTTCTATCTAGTTCTGATTGACTTCTCCTGCACAATTAAACTCCTGTGAGATCTTGACTGTCCAGAAGCTATAGTGGACAGTGAGGCTGGGGAGCCTGAACTTCAGCTGCTCCTGTGCTGGAAACTCCACAGCACAGTTAACCGTCTGCTGAGTGCCAGCTGTGCTTTAGTGCATTGTTATGTCCTTTATATGTTTTATTGATTATTGTGGTGGTATTTTCTTTGTCAATTTGATGGGCCCACAGCGTATACAGATAATCAGTCAAATATTATTCTGGGTGTGTCTGTGAGACAGTTTCTGGATGAAGGAACGTCTGAATTGGAGGACAGGATAAAGCAGATGGTCTTCCCCCATGGGGTGGGCCTCATCTAATCAGTTGAAGACCCAGATTGAACAAAAAGTCTGAGTAAGAGGAGCTTCACTTGACTGCTAAGCTGGAGCATGGGTTTTCCCTTGCCGTTGAACTTGGACTGAAGTTTACACCATTGCCTCTCCTGGTTTTCAGGTGTTTGAACTCAGACTGAGACAGTACCACTGGCTCTCTTGGGTGTCCGTCTGGCCAACTGAGGATCTTAGGACTTCTCAGATGCACAATGGTGTGAGCCAATTCCAAGTAATAGATTTCTCATGTGTGTGTGTGTGTGTAAACACACAGCTGACCCTTGAATAACACAGATTTGAGCTGCATGGGTCCATTTATGTGGCTTCATTTCAGTAGTAAATACTACCCTACTACATGGTGTGTGATGGGAGGACTGTGGGGCTTCAGCACCGTGCATTCTGTATCCCTGGGGGCTGCTGAAACCAACCCCCGAGGTTCCCAAGGGATGGCTATGTGTATCTCCTATTGGCTCTGTCTTCTGGAGAATCCTCACTAATACAGTAATGCAGTGTTTTTGCAAGTTTATTATAATCTCTCTTAGAAAATTGAGGCTTCTTCAGGAAAGATATAATCCTAGATTCACTCCACAAATAGGTCTGTCTGGAATTTCAACCCAGTTTTGCATGATTCCACATATCACCCTGTATCCGCCTTGTGACAGTTGACTTCAGATCTGCTACTTAAAAGGCGTGAGGGGAACCTGAGACCGGTACTGAACTTCCTCCAGGACATAGCTCGGAGATATTCCCTGTTGAGGACTGATTGCCTTGGGGAAGTCACACAGCGCAGCGCCTCCACCCCTCCTGAGTTTCTGCTCCTTGCATTCTCCACAGGGGGACTCCAGTTCACGAACAAAATCAGTTCATCATTTATTGGATTTTATTCAGGTGGTGTATTTCTGTCCCCAGAAATAATTATGAGCTAGCACTATTTATTATTCTTAAACAATTCCATGGAATGCTCACTGACTCCCCAGGATGCAAATTCTTAAACATTCACACTGTTTAATGTGAACAATTCTAGCGGAGCCTTATACAGAAAAAGTTACTCAAAAACACCTTCTTCCAGCTGACTGTCAGGATATACAAAACACCTGTGAGTCTATATACTGTTTCCAGATCGATCCATCCTTTCTCTGCTTCTGTTCTTAGAATCCCAACTCGGCGGCTGTGGCGTGATGGACCGCTCCAGTTTCTGTTTGTTAATGGAACGTGTGTTTTGCTCACTGGGGAGACATTATCACTACCTTTTTCCTTTCCGTTTTGTCATCCCGATTTAGCGTCTTAAATAGTTTCCGTGCCCTTACATATTGGGTCTCTGTTATTCAGTTTTCATTTCTAAGGGACTAGATTTGAACTCTGCCTTGAAATAACCTTGCGTTTGTACTGGACTCCCTTCTGCAAAGTGTGTCTTACCTGTTTGGGGCTAGTCTCCAGGACAGCCGTTTGAGCAGCTCTTTGGCTAGGTTTTATTGCCTCCTGGCCTTAATTCGTTTTCCTATAAACGCTCTCCAATTATGTTTAAAAGGGATCAAGGATGTTTTCGAACTAAGGAACCCTTTTTAAGAACCCTGCCACTGACTATTATACATGACATCTTTTTCATCTTTAAAAGTAGGAATAAACCACAAAGTCACCTTCACACGCTTCTTTCTTGTCCGCCCAGTCTCGCTGCAAAATCCGTTTCCACTCCGGTCGCTCTGGGAGGCTCTTGTTCTCTTCAGCTACTGCTTTTCCCTCCTTTTTTTGGTTATTTATTTATTTGTGGCATGCTCTGCTGCTGAGTCCTGATCCACCTTCGGGGTGTTTTCTCAGGCCACCTGCTTTCTCAGTTCACTCCCTCAGCCCCTCGTGAGCTATCAGGGCATGACAAAGGGAAGCCATTTAATAGTTTTGCTGCCTAATCCGGACACCTTATTTTTCAGAGGAGTTTCTCACGAATGCTCCCACTTCTTGTCAGATCTGAGGGAAAGAGGATTGCAGAGAGCAGCTCGTAAGTGCTCGCCAATTAAATCCGGGCTCCTTCCTGTAGTGTTTCCAAGCTCCCTTTGAAGAAGGATTTCTCTGTGTCTCGGATGTGTTAAATGTCACTTTTTTATATTGCCATGTGTTGCACAAAAGGTTTGTGGCCTCTGAATAATTTCTTTGAGATGGATTTTCATAGCATATAGGACTTCAGTTCTGAATGTGCCAGTCTTTTCTCCTGTACAAGAAAGAGGGCAGGAAGGGCGTCCCACTTTCTGAAAGGAAAGCTGGTGTGTAACATACACCATAGTTTAACAGCCGCTCAAAGCTTATAGAAAATACTAAAAAAAAAAAACAAAAAAATTCATGTAACATTTGGGCAAAGAGCCTCAATAAAGGAATAGGAAAGGAGTAACTAACC